GGTATGCTAGCTAGGGCACGCAATCAATAATTTCAACCAGAGCTTGGAAGGCATCCAGCTGCCGAGAAGCCTGCAGACACTAACCTTCGGCCCTAATCTCAAGAGGAGCTTGGAAGGTGTGAAACTTCCAAGCAGATTGCAGACGTTGAGCCTGGGCATGAGCTACTGCGAGAGCTTGCAAGGCATCTGCTTGCCGAGCGGCCTGCAGACACTGGAGTTGGGCGGCAGCTTTAATCAGAGCCTGCTGGGCATCCGATTGCCCGCCAAGCTGCAGACGTTGGTGTTTGGCGACAGTTTCAACCAGAGTTTGAAAGCTGTCCAACTCCCGCCCGGCCTGAAGACACTGACTTTTGGCCGTGATTTCAACCGGTGTTTGGAAGGTGTGGTTCTTCCGAGCAACCTGAAGGAGTTGACGTTTGGGGATGATTTCAACCAGAGCTTGGAAGGCGTTCAGCTGCCGAGCAATCTGCAGACTTTGTCATTCGGTCATAGCTTCAACCAATGCTTGGAAGGTGTCTGCCTGCCGACCAGTTTGTTGAGCTTGCAATTGGGCTATAAGTTCAATCGGAGCTGGAAGAGTGGTGGGTTGCCAGGCGGCCTGCAAGCTTTGACATGTGGCTTTGACTTCTACCAGAGCTTGGAAAGTGTTCAGGTTCCAGAGAACCTGCAGTCGTTGACGTTTTGCTCGGAGTTCGCTCCGAGCTTTGAGGGTGTGGCGCTTCCAAATGTGTTGTTTAAGTTCTCCTGCCGCGACATTCGGGTCAGTGTCCACTCGTGATGCTGGCAATGTTCACTGGGAATAAAATGGCAGTTGCATGTGCTCTATAGGTGGTAAGCCTGGCGATGCCAGCAATGTAACATGACCCAATCTTCTGCCGCAGGGTGTGTAGTCTGTGGTTAAGTGTCCGGAGACGCGCAGTAGAAATAAAATGCTAGGAAAGGATAAGCAAGGTTTAGCTCAATGTGTAGTGCAGCGTCAAGAGACGTACCGCAGCATAATGCAGGGAAACAAGAGGTAAGATATGCTCAACCTGTCGTTTGAAAGTCAAGTCATGATTCCACAGCGCAAGACTGTGCCAAATTTCTGAGCCCGATGCGTTTCTGTGTTGGGGTCAGGTGCAGCTGA